ATGGTGGCAGTCACAGCCAGGATGAACCCAGACATTCCCTGTCACTCCCAGTATAAAGCCATTTGCCCCCAGCAGGGTCCCACTTGCTCCCACTCACCCACTGCAGTTCCAGTCCCTCCCAGTAGGATCCCTGTCACTCCCAGTCTCACACAGTTGACATCAGCCTCCTCTCAGTCAGTCCCAGTATGCTCCCAGTCAGTCCCAGTATGATCTCAGTCACTCCTGGTCTCTCCCAGTATATCCCCGTTGCCCCTAATGTGGTCCCACTCACTCCCAGTTGCTCCCAGTAGCTTCCAGCATTATCCCAGTTGCTCACAGCCACTCCCAGTGTTCCCCAGTGTGGTCCTAGTGGCTCCCAGTATGATCCCAGTCACCTACAGTATATCCCAGTTGGGCCAACATGGTCCCAGCTGCCCTCAGAATGCTCCCAGTCACTCCCAGTATGACCCCAGTCACCTTCACTGTGGGCCCAGTTGCATCCAGTATGATCCCAGTTATGCCCAGCATGGTTCCACTTGCTCCCAGTTCCTCCCAGTGGGATCCTAAGAGCTCCCAGTTGCCCCTAGCATAGAACCAGTTGCTCCCAGTATGATCCTAGTCTGATCCCAGTACGATCCCAGGAGCTTCCAGACACTTCCAGTATGAAGCCAGTTTGATCCCACTCATCCCCAGTATGGCTGCACTCCCAGTAATATTGCAGCCACTCCCAGTATGATCCCAGTATGACCCCAGTAGGGGCCCAGCTGCTCCCAGTATGATCCCAGTTGCCCCTGTTCTGGTTATTGGGGGGCACTGGGTGGGAGGGGGAGTTGGAGGATCCCAAGGGGTGGAGCCGAGTTTGGGGGGGCAGAACCGACCCTGGGATGGATCAGGAATGGGGACCCCCCTGTGTTCCCCCCGTGTCACCCGCTCTGGGGGGGCTTTGGGAGGGCACCTGCCCCTCAATAGGCACCCAGCTCACCCCAAAAAGTGCTGAGACCCCCCCAGAACCTCGTCATAGCCCCTCAAAGATGCCCAAACACACTCAGAGCCCACCCAGGACCCCACCCAGCCCCTCTTCTGGGGGGGCTTCTCTGGGCACTGGTGGTGCTGGGAGCCCCCCCGGCTGCGGGCGAGGAGCTCTCGGGTGAGCGGGGGGTGGGAAGGGGGAGGTCGGTGGGAAAAGGGGGGTCAGAGGGGATAAAAGGAACTGAGTGGGAGGGGAGAGGGGCCCCCCAAAAGTGGAGGGGGACTGACGTTCATGGGGAAAGGGCAGGAGAGTGGAAAAGAGTGGGGAAAGAGCAGAGTGGGAGCCCCAAACTGAGCATGAGGGGGCTGGGGACTGGGGGATGATGTGGAAGGGGTGTGGAAAAATGTGGGGATAGGGACCACAAAACTCATCTTGGAGGGGCTGGGGATTGAAGGGACAATGGAAAAGTGGAAGGAACAAGAAGAAGAGTAGAAAAGGGGGGGGTGGTCTGGCAGGTCCAACGATCCCATGGAGGTCTTTGGGCCCAAAAGCGCTGGAAAAGCAGGGTGGCCCCCTCAGTTCCCAACTGACTGTGGGGTGCTGGGGCTGCTGGATCCAATCTCAGCCTTGGGTTATGCCAACACTTTCAGTTTAGAAGAATTACAGAGGTGGGACTGAACCACTTTTTTCCCTCAGGTTTTAATCATGGCAAATCAGATCTATTGATAGAAATGAATTATTTGGGGTAACAAATGATCAGACAAAAGATCTTGATCAGAATTATTTACTGCACAACAGAAACACTAAAACTACCAGCAGTACAGCATAAGATAGGACAGTGCTCTACACTAAAGCAATTGTTGAAGCAATTCTACTCAAGCTGCCACCAAAGCAAGAATTATGAATTAGAGAGGGATGGAACTCCCCCAGACCAACGCTCGTGGGGAGATCTCTGCTCTCAACCTCCAGCACTGACCTTGGGGGGTCCCAGCCAGGAATCTCCACACACCCCCCAAGAAGGGTTCTGTTGGCACAACCTGCCCCTGGCAAAGGGGACTGGCCCTCTCTGGTAGAAAGGGATGGACTGACAGTCCCTGGACTCCAGGGGTTGCCTCCCCATCAGGGGGGTCATTTGGGGTGGGAGCAGTGGCCGAAGCTCTTCCCGCATTCGGAGCACTCGTGGGGCTTTTTTTACTGGTGTGTCCGTTGGTGTCTGGTCAAGGTAGAGCTGTGGGAGAAGCTCTTCCCACACTCCCCACACTTGTAGGGTCTCTCCCCGGTGTGGATGCGCCGGTGACTGATGAGGGTGGAGTTGTGTTTGAAGCCCTTCCCGCAGTCGGTGCAGCGAAAGGGCCTCTCCCCTGTGTGTGTCCGCTCATGCCTGAGGAGAGTTGAGCTGTCCCTAAACCTCTTCCCACACTCCTGACACTTGTATGGCATCTCCCCAGTGTGGATGCGCCGGTGGGTGACGAGGGTGGAGCTGTCACTGAAGCTCTTCCCACATTCCCCACACTTGTAGGGCCTCTCCCCAGTGTGGATGCGCTGGTGGGTGATCAGGTTCGACCTATCAGTGAAGCTCTTCCCACATTCCCTACATATGTAGGGTCGTTCCCCAGTGTGGATGCGCTTATGTCTGATCAGGGTGGAGCTCTGCCTGAAGCTCTTCCCACATTCCCTACACGTGTAGGGCTGTTCCCCAGTGTGGATGTGCTGGTGCCTGAGGAGGTGGTAGCTCTTTCTGAAGCTCTTCCCACATTCCAAGCACCTGAAGGGCTTCTCCCTGCTGGGAGGCTGCTCAGGGACCACCAGCTCGGAGCTCCGGCTCAAGCTCCGGCCGCCTTCCCGGCACAGGACGGCTCTTTCCTCCTCACAGCTCCCTGGGCTGGCTTTGCAGCCCCTCCTCCGGGG